CCCAATATAATGAATTCACACATTGTCATGTAGATTTTCACCCAGCAGAATAACTCTAGAGGCTAAGTTTATTGCCTTGTAGAATATCATCTAGTTTTGTATCTAACAACCATATCCTAAGTTTCCTGTATTAAACTGCTAAGGATATATCATTCCCCAAATATTCTGGGGCCAGCCACACCATGGCACTGGCTCCTTGCAATAAGATTAACAAGATCTTGGGGCCTCCCCGGTGGCGCAGTGGTTGAGAGCTCAGCTGCGAAGCTGCCTGCAGCCTCTGCAGCACCGGTTCGATCCCCGGCCACCAGGCAAGGGTCTCACATGGCGCGCAGACCTCTCCCGCCGCCCGCTGCCCCCCTCGGCAGTGTATTTCGCAGTCTGCCTGTTGTGTTCCCTGCTCTGGCTCTGGGGAATTCTCTTACCCTCCCACGCTTCTGACTGTACCCAGTGCTTGTATAAATAAATAAATAAATCTTTAAAAAAAAAAAAGATTAACAAGATCTTCTAAATGTTCATTTACAATTTGAAAAACAGTTAATTTTTTAATTTTTCAAAAAGCATACTTTAAACTTTTTTTTAAAGGCTTTTCTCATTCTTCCTTCCACGGCTCATCCCGCTACACCCTATTAGCCTCTAGAATTCAACAGGCTTCCGTGAGCACTGGACTTTTTGCTCCTTTTTTCTTTCCCAAGTGAATGGTCTGAGTCACCAGTTGTTTCCAGCTGAATCATCCACAGATGATAATCTCCACGTGAAGTCACAAGTGCTATGTTTCTGTTCATCAAACTCCTAATTCTTCTCTTTCTTGTCCAAAATGTCCATGAAGATCCTTTTGGGACCCTTTTTTTAAAAGGCCTTCCTCTCTTGCCGACACTCTAAATCAGTGGGGTTCTTGTCAGTTTCATCCTCTTTAGTGGTTTCTCCCTTTCCCCGTCTGTGGCCCATTTCATCATCTTGACTACTGGTTTTCTATTTCATTTCCTCCTCTTCCTCTGAATTGTCTAGCATCTTCTCCAAAGTCATCTGTTGCTGTTTTTCTGATTCTTTCAATTGAGTGATTGTCAAGTGAGATTCTGCCTCGCAGTCTTTCTCTCGTCCCTCAAAAAGTAAGAGCTTGCTATAAACATAGGGGTGCAGGTGCCCTTTTGAATTAATGTTTCTGTGTCCTTTGAGTAAATGCCTAGGAGTGGAATTGCTGGATCATATGGGAGCTCTATCTTTAGTAGGTTGAGGAATCTCCACACAGCTCTCCATAGTGGTTGGACCAGTTTGCACTCCCACCAGCAGTGCAGGAGAGTTCCTTTTTCTCCACATCCTCGCCAACATTTGTTGTTGCTAGTTTTTTTAATATGTGCCATTCTCACTGGTGTGAGATGGTATCTCATGGTAGTTTTGATTTTCATTTCTCTGATTACAAATGATGTTGAACATATTTTCATATGCCTGTTGGCCATTTGCATTTCCTCTTTGGAGAAGTTTCTTTTTAGCACCCCTATGTTTATAGCAGCACTATTTACAATAGCTAAGCTATGGAAACAACCCAAATGCCCAAAAACAGATGACTGGATCAAGAAGATGTGGTACATATACACCATGGAATATTACTCAGTATTCAAAAAAGATAAAACTTACGCCATTTGCAGCAACATGGATGGAGCTAGAAGGGATCATGCTCAGTGAAATTAGCCAGAAAGAAAGAAAAATACTGGATGGTCTCACTCATAGCAGGAATTTAGAAAACCTAAATAAGGGACCAAGAAAAATTCTAATTGTAATAAAGAAAAAATCAAAATCAACAAGCAACTATAGACCAGAGACACATTACAGGGAAAGGGGGAGAAGAGAGGGATTAGGGTCAGAATAAAGGGGGGTGGGTATTGTATGGGGAATATAGCCAAAATGAAAATGTATACATTTTGTGCAAAAATGAAAAATGATGTAAGAATTATATAAAATAAATAATTAATTTTTTTTTAAAGTAAGAGCTTGATACTACCTCCAAAGCAAAGAATATGTCCAAAGTGGACCTGACAATAGGTGGGGATTTGGAGAGTGGTTTTTGTTGAGAAAAGTGCTGCGGCTCTTTCAGGAATGTCGAGGTAGAAGCCCTGCCTATGCCTGCATCATTCCCCATTGGGTTTGGGCCCCATTGCTTGCAGCATCATGTGGCACCAAGACCCTCAAGGATATTCTAGAGAAATGTCACAGCAAACAGTCTCCCAAAAAGGCAGTAACTTGTTCCTTCCGAACTACAGGTGTCAGACATAGTGTCACTTTTCAGGGTTTCTCAACTGGTTGGGTCAGCCCAAGGAGGCTCCTGGTAAAAGGGAACCTGGGCCAGGCGAGTAAGGAGCTGCTGGGGGGCCACAGCTTCTCTTCCAGTGGACTTCTTCTATCCCTGCTGTCAGATTCCAGCCTGCAGAAAGTCAGACTGCCTGGAATCCTGGTCCAGGGAGGCCACTGTCCCTTCCTTCTTCACCTCCTCCGAGTCTGAAGGACTGGTGGTTTGTGCCTTGCCCTGCACCACTGAGGGCATATTCTCCAAAAATGACAGGCTTCTTAAAAGCTCTTTTGAGTTCTTCCCAAGCAGTGGCTCAGACTGAGAGGAACTACTCAAGTTTTTATGTTTTATATTATGCTTTATTGATTATATGAGGCACATGCATGAACTCCCTTATAAGATAAAAAGGACAGCAGCCTTATTTTATGTATTGTTCTCTTTCCCATAGAGAAAGACCTTCAATGATTACTTGCAGAATTCACGAACTGAAAAGAAGTTGTAATCATAAATGTTCTGGAATGGTTTTATGGATTCAATTTTTAGGACCTGGGACTAGTCTTTTAACCATTTTCCCCCATTTCTCCCATAATGAGACAAAAATAGTTTTAATGAATGAAGCTCACCAGAAGGTTGACAAGCTTATCATATGCTAGTTAATTCACACAAGCCCCTTAGTTTGACCTAAGCACAGCCCTCTGAATATATGGCACCAAATCTCTTCCTCTCGCAAGGAAGTAGTTTAACAGTTCAGGCAAAAACTAAGTTCAATTGTCTAAACACCTTCAGAGAGACAGCAGAGAGCCTCTGGTGCAGACTGGGTTCCAGATTTTTGTGCAGGACACTACTGGGATTGCTCTCAGGAAGGATAACTGGAGGGAGGGCTGGTAGTGTAAGAGTTGGGCTACAATGCAGTCATAACCAAGCCCTGATTTCATGGGGAGCTCGGGGGTTGGGGTGGTCCTGTTCATGCCAGAAGGGAACCAGAATTTTATGTCCTTGCTTTGATCAATCACTGAATGTAAGGAGCTCTGAGAAGGCACTCTTCGCCTAGGTGGTTGTTTTCAGTGGAGGCAATTCTAAAAGCAGGCTGAAAAGATCGCTCAATAGATAACTTCTCAGCAGCTGATGAAATAAATCCTTCTATTCTGAGGTAGAGATTTTGGCCAGTCCAATTTAGCATCTACAACTAGCTCTAAATGCCAATACATCTAATTTTCTTTTCATTAAGTTTACAATTTTGTTTTGTTGGTTGGACAGGCCTTAGTTCTATAAGGTGAATTACTGTGTGATACGCCCCTACTTCTCATATTTCTGTACCAGTCTGAAACAGATCACAATGCTTTCCCCTAACCCTGGCAATTTTTATTCTCAAAACAAATTAAATGTGTTCACATATCTTCCTTTGCTCTAATGGTCATATTGCAAGAACAAAGATAAATGGAAAGTCTTATATTTAGAAAGTAACGCGGGAGAAAGAGGTAGTATGTCCAAAGACACTGCAGAAACATCTTTTTATTACACTTAGGAATACCTCTAAAGCAATACTTTATAATAGAAAGCATTCTGAAGAGTCAGCAAGTATCTGGCAAATTTGGACAAACAGGATAATTCTGGGTCCTGAATGGACTTATTTGTTTCTTTGGATTAACTCGCTAGGTTTGATGTCTTTACTTTAGAGCTTATTAAGTACATTCACATATATTATTTTATCATTTTTATCCATAATTTTGTATAATAGTCAATGATTATAAAATGTCTATTTTAAAAGGTACAAACTGACTCAGAGAAATTAAGTGATCTTTTCAACATCACACAACTAACAAGAGCAAATTCTTAGCTCTGCAATTCTAAGTATACTGACATGTCTAACGTCACACCAGTAGATGTCAACCATGGTACTGCCATTCACCGTGAGACTATCACAAATCATCTGTTACTAGAAATAACATGTGAAGCTTCCAAATGACTTATTTTTATATATAAGGAAAGGTTGTCTGCATAAAAATGTAGCTCTTGCTCACTTGTACTTAAAAAGACTTTCCTAATAAAAGAAAATGACTACAGCAGGAAGAAGAAAGCTTCAGGCTTTAATAAGCCTGTATGAATATTTCTGATGTATAAATGTCATTTATCAAGTGAGTCTTGGTGGCAGGCTCTACTGCGTCACCCTGCCTCTAAGATCTATGACCAGGACTGCTCCTTTATAACTACCTCCTGAATTTTAGCTTCACCTCTACAACTCCTTTTCAAGATATAGTGAACCACATATTATTTCCCCTAAAACTACTTATCAGCTGCATGTAGCATTTTACTAACCAAAACAGGAAAGCCCAGTGTTTCTTCTCCTCCCTTCCCGTTATTATACTCAGTTGCTTTTCTTCTTTTGCATCTAATTTTGTGACATGACAACATTCCATCAGTAAAAGGTTTATAAAGTTTATAAGGCTAAACTCAGAACAGGAATGAGAATCTTTGTCTGTTAACAATATGTTAAGAATCTTTGTCTGCAAGATCCCACCCACCTACCAGAGAGCAGCCTTCAACTACAGAGAGAGGAACAGGAGTCAGAGAATCTCCCATTACAGGCATTGCAACAGTTATAAGAATACATTGGTCATGTTTTCCATATGATAGAGCTTTTAAGTAATGATAAGATCAGAGAGGAAAATCAATGGCTAGCCAATAAACTACATTACTTATAATAAACTATAGAACTCACCATAGTGTGTATTAGAAGATATTCTGGTCTTTCTAAACATCATTCAGTAGAAGATGAACACTTGTTTCTTACATAAACCTGAAAATAAGCCACATAAATTACTGTCACTAACAGAGAGTTAATGATTATTTAACAAAGTGATTCCAAAATACAATCAAATGAATTTGTGCTCCTTTTAAGAAGCATTATCTAGACATTATAATGCAGGACTTTACCTTAGTGATATGACTTCAAAAGTTACACAGAAATAGTCTCCTCTCTAGTTGTGTGGAGCAACTGCCTGAAGTATTCCTTCAGCTTAGAATATTTTATAACTCTTTTTTGTGAACTAACTTAAGAGCAGATAACAATAATTTCCAATTACTGCACCTGTACAATGTGCCATGCCCGGTACAAACCAGTGTGCACAACATATTGCCTTCTCAATAGCTGTGTGAGGTTGGAACATTAGCCCATGTTCCAAATGGGAAGAACTGAGGGCAACAGAAGTAATGAAACTTAAAATGCCACCTAGTCCCAAGTCATGGACAGGCAAGTAAATAAGCTAGGATTTGCACCTCCCTTTCTCCTAAATCACGTCATTGTGACACAAGTCACATCCTAAAGTCAATGGAATTCATGAATTCACAATTCGCCACAGTTGTATACGTGTGTGACAAGCCCACCATTTTCGAGCCCCATTCCAGAATACATCCAGAATGTAAAAGATGTCACCAGATAAGATGCAAGACTTCAAGGGCTACCTGCAAATAATAAAGCTTTACCACCACTGGAGATGATTTTTAAAGCTGTGAGAGGGAGAAACGGGTAGCAGAGGTGCTGCTGGAAGCCAATGATACTAAGAAGGCAGTGCCTCAGAGATCAGTCATGAACTATGTCGAGGAATGACAGGTGTCACAATTGCAGTTGATCCTTCTGAAGCAAATATAAGGAAAACGACACTCATCTGAGCTCTATTACGTTTGTTAAAGTCCTATTCTTTCGTGGTCATTTTTCATTTATGAAGATGACTTTGAAAGCACTTTTGAGTTAATCAATGCATCTTTTATTAACTGAATTTATAAACTGTTCATGAAACCAGATTTCCTGGTGGTTTTATTTACCTTGAGTATTAAGTGCAAGCTGAGCTCACTTATTAAAGTTATATTTCCCCATTGCAGATTTTTAATTATAGAATACCATTTTATAAGGCATATTAAATACTAATCTGTGTGTACATGCCTCAAATGGCAGTAATAGCACACTATCAATTTGATATAAATTATAAAATAAGCTGTTAAACATTCAAGCACAATATAAGGTAAACAAACAGAACTTAATGTAATAATTTTGTTGACTTAGCAGTTATGTTAAACATTTCCAACACATGTTTTTGATAGGTGATATCATTCCAAAGTAGGTTATAGAGCACACCCCAAAGAATGACCAAAACCTATGTGAGTACAAACTGAATTTATGACCACAGGCTCTCATACATTAAAAAAAAGAAATCATCATTATTCAGCAAATGAAAACTTTTGGATTGTACAAAATCAACACTCCCTGAGATTGTTACAGATGATCACAGAATTCTTTCTTCTGAAATTGTTATAAGCCATTAACAGAAAGATGCAGGGAAAATTCCTAACTATGAAACTGAAATGGCATAATTCTAAATTATCTATGGGTCGAAAAAAACTTAGAATTAAAATTTGAAGTGAATTAAAATGAAAGCACAACATGTCAATATGAGTCAGAAGTTGCTGAAGTAAATATTTGAGAAATTCATTGCACCTGTTGCCTATATTAAGGAAAAAAGTTTCAGTCTGATAACCTAAACTTTGACCTTGATAAATTAGCAAAAAAATTAAATCCAAATTAAATCCAAATCCAAATTAAATCCACAGGAAGTAGAAGAAAAATAATGATCAATGTGGAAACAATGAAATCAAAAAAGGGGGAAAACAATAAAGTTAATTAAAATCAATAGTGATGTATTTAGATTTAGTTGATAGGTCTCTTGATACACTGAGCATGAAAAAAGAGAGAAAATGTAAATTATTAGTATCAGAAATGAGAGGGATGACATCACCACCAACTCAACAACTAAAAAAAAAGGATAAAGAAATAGTATGAACAATTTTATGCAAATAAATTTAGCAGCACAGGTAAACTGGGTAAATTCCATGAAAAAAGTAGATAATCTGAAGGGACTGTGTCTATTAACAAAATCCAATTTATAGTTTATAATCTTCCCACAAAGAAAGCTCCAATCCCTCATGGCTTCAGTAAGGAAAAAAATCTACCAAACAATTCACAAAGAAATAATGCCAATTCTACAAATCCTATCTTAGAAAACTGAAAAGACAGGGATAGTTGCTAACATTCTATGAAGTCATCATTACCTTAATAGCAAACAAAAGCATTAGAAGAAAACTACAACCCAATGTAACTTATGAACATTGTTGTGCACCCATCCCAGACCAAGTGGGTTCTTTGTCAATTTGGTAGATTTGACAAGCCTTTAGTGCTGAATCAGGGGACAGGACTCACAGGCAGATCAGCAGGCAGGGAGGCAGTAAATGAACCAAATCCAACCTACCCTGTGAATCTCCCCTTATACCCATTGCTTCTTGGCGCAGGTGTCCACGATCAAAGGTACGCATGCTCTGTGCCCACACTCCCAAGCACCCTTTGCATTAACACGATTATCACATGTGGGTAACGCAAACTGAGATGAAAGCAAGGCCGCAGGTGGCAGCTGTAGATGCTGGTAGCAGGTGGTAAAAAAAAAAAACCTGAATATCCCATGTTCCTTACAACATGATCTGAAAATTCTAGAGTTTGAGAGACATTCTACTATTTCTTTTTTTAAAAAAGATTTATTTATTTTATTTATTTATGCATTCAAGAAGCGGGGTATAGGCCGGATGTGTGGGAGGGTGAGAGGATTCACCAGAGCCGGGAGCAGAACAGGCAGACTGACTGAAATACACTGCTGAGGGGAGCAGTGGGCGAGACAGGGGAGGTCTGCTGCGCCATGTGGGTATCTCCCGGCTGGCTGGGATTGAACCCACACTGCAGAGGCGGTGGATAGCGCCACAGTGTGGCACTCAGACACCTGCGCCACCAGGGAGGCCCAACTCTGCTATTTCATGAAAAGAAAATAAGACTATTAAGTCCTCTAGCTTGACAATCCGAGCAAAGACACCCAAGTCTTGCTCCCTAAGAGATTGTGCTTCAACCATTAAGAAGATTTCTCATTACCTGATTTAACCATAAAGATAAGAATTTCTTCTCTGCAAAACTGTTCTGTCTGCCCTGAGTAAACTTTTCCTGCAAAGTGATGGCCGCAGTATCTAAATGCAAAGAGAGCTGAGACTCCCTTAAATTTACACACAGGTGTGGGGATACATTGTATATATTTCCTGATTAGAGTTTAATAAGTGATAAACCCATAAGCTATCATCAAAAAAAAAAAAATAGAGGATTAGTGGTCTCTTAGCTGGGTTGAATGAGGCAGTAACAGACCGTTACTACTGCAAGACCCTCCACTCAGGAAGAATTAGAAAGGCCAGAATGTAAAGTTAACTTTCATTATACATTAAAGACTGACTATCAAAGAAACCAAAGAGAAGGAAGAAACAGTCTGCTGATGACTCAGTCCTATGACTTCAGCTTTTCGTAAAACTTCGAAATGGAGGCCCTGAATGTGCTAATATGATGTCACAGTGATGTCACTTAGTGATGTGACAGTGATGTCACCTCACCGTGGTCAGCACTCTTTTATCACTAGCAAAAGTGACTCTTCAGACACCTGCCAGTCATTGGGTTTCTACAGTTGCTTGTGGTTTAGAGTCCATCTTCATGCTATTCCTAGCATTAAACTGTTTTTCCTTTTTGATTTATATTTGAAAGATTTCCACAATTAAGTATTTTTAAATCCCTGGCATACAAGGAGTCATCAAGCGTCACTTAAGCTTTACCAGAGGTGAGATTCTACCAATTCACAAAGTTTTATTGAATTGAAACTCAACTCCCCATAATTTCCACCAACTTATCAATGCCCTGTGAACTACATAAAAGTAGTTCCATATACAAAAGTAAAAAGTAAATATCTCAATAAGAGAACCCTCCAACTAACAAAAGGGTTATTAGATGACCATATAATTTACTATTCCAAAGTGGGAACAATTCTGTTTTTGTTTTTGTTTTTGTTTTCTATTGTTGTTGTTGTTGTGGGGTATTTTTTATTTTACTTTTTTTAAATAATATTTGCTTCCCCCCACCCCCTCAGATTGAATCCCCATAGAATTTCCTTCCCCAAAGCACCCGTGCAGCATCACCTCAGTCCCCTGTGCTCCTCCATCCCTCCCTCCGATCCCTCTCCCTCCTCCTCCTCTGCAGTATGTCTCTGATTTATAATTGTCTGTTTTTGCTTTGTTGTGTTTTGTACTGTTATTATTTTTTTTACACTTATGTCTTATTTGGTCAAAGTGGGAACAATTTTGAAAGCAAAGGGTATTACTAAATTACTAAGGTAATTAAAATTTAGCTATTAAATTTTGTATTTACTATTGCTTTAGTTTTACTATAGTGGGAGACCCATTAAAAGGTTCTAATCCAAAAGCATTTTCAAAAAATAAATTTTATTCTAAACACATGGGAATAACATACATGGCACAGATGCTAAACCAGATGGGACACTGAGAGAAAGAAAGACATGAACAGGGAATGACCAAGGCGAACCCAAATATATGGACACCGACTATGTCTCATCATCACTTCCCTTGTTCAGGTTAAACATCCCTGATTCTTTGAACTCTTCTGATTTCTTCAGTTCCCAATTTCCTTCTTTTGACAAGATCCATTTGAAATATAGAACCAAAAATAACAATATTCCTGATGCGTTCTGACCAGAACCCACTACAGTGAAGCCATCATCTCCATAAATGCAACATTATATCCTCCTAACACTACCCTCAGATTGCATTAGCCTTCCTGGCAGCTGCATCCATATTGTTGGCTCATATTCAGCTTGTAATCAACTGAAATCGTTTGCACATAAAATGCTACTAAACTCAGGCATCCTC